TTTATTTTTTAATAAATAAAAACACTTTAATAATATATTTTTTTCAAATTTATATTAAAAATGTTGAAACATTTACATAAGATATATATTTTTTTTAAATTCATATCCTTTATTTTGGCACACCCTCTTTTTAAGGCACAAAAAGAAAACGGTGATGATATTTGCAGTGCATTTAAATTACAATTTAAATATGGATAAATTTTAGGATAACAACGATATGAGACATCAAAATGGAAAAAATTTAAATGAAATATTCAAATAACACCAATTATTATAAGGGAAAATCATTGAATGAATAAAACAACAAATTCTTCAGCTAACAATGACAAAAGGGCAAACATTGACGAAATCATAAAAAAGAAATATTAGAGCGCAAGTAGTTTCTTTTCACAAGGGAACAAATGTAAAACAAAATTACAACAAAACATTTATGATTTTTTTTTTTTTGCTCACTTAGTATGATCAGCAAACAGACGAGTATTGCCGCCAAAGCACCCATGCTCAATTTTAACGTTTGTCCCTCCTGCACCAATTCACAATTTTCGCCCCAAAAGCCATCCGGGCAGATGCAACGATAACGCATTCTCGGTTCAAGATTTATACAGGTGGCACCATTCAAACAGGGCAGATCCAAACATTCGTTGCGATCCATACAGCCTTTGGCATCGGGTGACATAACACGACCCTCACCACAGCTGTGGTGTGTAGTTTTGTGGTAAAGAAATTGGCAAAGGCGGCGGCAATGATGACGGATAGCAAGACGAGGAGCATGATTAAAATGTTTTTTTTTTTTGATTCAGTGAAGTAGAGAAATACATATATGTGTGAAACAAGAATAACAATAACATAGACATCAGGAATATTGCAAACACATTTTTTTTCAGGAAAGGGTGTAACGATCTCTATGAGAGAGAGGGGTTTTTGAAAATAGAGTTTTTTTGTTTTGTTTTAAATTTAATGAGAATGGGACGTGGTTTCAAATTTTTTTTCAAGTGTAGGCGATGAGTAACAAAAAATATGGTTAATGAAACACTCAAAGAAAAAATGTTTGTAAAAGAGAATGACGTTTTTTGAGATTGTGGTATAAAAGTCCTCAGAAACATGCCTGAGTAGATTTGTTGTCCATTGGAGGTTGTTTTTTATGGAATAAATCCTTAGTCATATGTAATGATTTTTATACCCTACACCATAAGGCGGAGTGTATAATAAAAATGTTATTTCTGTTAACACGACCTAGAAATATTCTATGTTGATATTTAAGAATGTCTGTATGTCTCTTAAAATTACGACACAGACCACAATATTTAAGAAAAACCTCGTATAGAAAAACCTCTTTTCAGGTATTCTGGGTAAATATTTGTTCTCAGATGATCAATTTTATTTTTGTACTACAGGACTCATTATTGTATAAGAAAATGTCCCCGGGGGATATGGATTTGTTTTTACTTTTTTAACCCGATATTTTTTAAATATTAAAAATAATAAAGATAAAAAATACTTCAAATCCCCTGAACAATCGTCAGTCTTCAGAGTTTTGAAACTGTGAGAATTCCTTAAAGGGTCATTGCTCCTTTTATAGAAAAATTCTTTAGTGGTTCTGAGTAAATATTTTCTCTTTTCTTTTTTTTTGTGGATTTAAAAAAAAATATATATATATTTTTAGAGGCCAGATCTCGGCGTGGATTTTAAAAAAGTTATTTTTAAGCAAATTCTCGGCTTGGATTTGTAAAAACTATTTAAAAAAAATAAATCTCCGCCTGGATTTCAAAACCTTGTTGATGACCAGTTGTAAGTTGTATTTTCCTTTTTACGTGATAATTCAAACTAATTTGGATTTATCTACGTCGTTTTTGATTTCCAAGGATAGATGACATGATCTCTGACCAGTTTTATTGACATTTTTTTTTGTGCGTCTTTTTTTCCATTGGATTGACTTTTTGTGCAACTTTTTTAAAAGTTTTAAAATTATTTAAAATATTTTTATTTTAACTCAGTTCTCGGTAATAATATTTTAAAGCCAGCTCTCGGCGAGGATTTTTTTTAAGTCGGCTTGGATTTAACAAAATAAGCTAAGCTTTGTCCTATACTATAGGAATTATGTTTTGAAGCCAAGCCAATGGCGTGGATTTTTTAGAAAATATGTTTTGAAGGTAAAACATGGCCTTTGATTTTTTAGAAAATAGGTTTTGAAAGTTTGTAACGCCCCTCAAAAGTTTGTAACGCCGCGAAATATCTCGACTAGCTGAGTCGATCTATTATAAGTTGTAAACACGATACAGGCCACAGTTATGGACCAATCTTCACGAAATTTTGCATGTAGGATAGGTTTTGGCCAATGAAGACCCCTATTGTTTTTGGTAAAGATCGGCTAATATTTAGGGGATAAAATGGACCAAAAACTTTGTTTTTGTCGGTGTTTCTGGTCGCTCCAGAGGCCGCAGTTTTGGTCCGAACATCGTGAAATTTTACATGGAGAAGAGGATCGGGCCATAGAATAATCATGCCTGTTTTAATAAGGATTGGTCAATATTTAGCGGTTCAAATAGACCCTGACTTTTGTGTAAAAAATTACAAAATTTGTATTCTATGGCGTATATATTTGCCCCTGAAGGATATATACCCGAGAAGTTGATGGTATACCCAAGAGGAGTTGTTGACCTTCAAATTGATACCAATTATGTGCCTGTATGTACTCTGATGTGGGAGTTATACGTAATTAAGAAATGTAGCGCTGATCGCTTTGAAATTGTACATGAAGTTCCGATTATAATCAAGAACGGGTCCTATAGTTTTCGGTGTTGATATTTCATTCAGGGGGTGCAATGAACCGAAAACATTAATTTTGTCAGATTTTTTAGTTGCTCTAGTGGCAATTATTATATGCAGAACATCACGTATTTTAAAAGGTGAAGGAGATCTGGCCAAATACGTAGAGCGGCTGTTTAGATGATGATCGGTCAATATTCCGAGGGTCAAATCAACCATAACCTAAAGTGACAATTTTTTTTATTTTATGGCGTAAAAATTCCCTTCAAGAACAAAATTTTGGAAAATAAGCCAGGCTTAGAAAGTGGAGTTGGTGATCTATAATCGGAAAAAAGATGCAAATATCACGAAATATTGCCCAGTCTCAGAATATAGAACGCAGAAAGTTTGCTTTTCGTGGTAGTTATGTAGGGTATCATATGGTCGGCCCCGTTCGACTATACTGCTCCGCTAACTGGTTTTTAAGTTCAATTATTCAAAATATTTTTGAAAAGCCAGCTCACGACGTGGAGTTGTAAAAATATATTTTTTAAACCAGCTCTCCGCCTGGATTTAAAAGAAAATATGCCAAGCTTTGCTATATGCTATAGAGGTTGTAAAAATAAATTTTGAACCTAAGTCATTGGCTTGGGTTTTTTCAAAAAATACGTTTTAAAAGTTGCCTTTATTTTTTTATTTATTTATTATTTTTTTTTTTTTTTGCAATATTTGTATAGTCGGTGGATTTCTATAAAAATATTTTCTGAAGCTAAGCCATGGGCGTGGATTTAAAATAAAAATATAATGCAAACTTATAGGCTTATATTTTTAATAAAATGTTTAAATCGTGAGCCATAGGCGTGGATTTTTTAAAAAAAATATTTTTTGAGTGTAAAATATGGTCTTTGAAATATTTGTCGGTCATAGGCATGAATTCAGAGGACCTAAGTACTTGTTTTCTTTTTTCAATAAAAAATCATTAGGGTCAATAGGGATTTTCCAATTAAAAAATCCTGAGGTGTATTGAGCATAATTAACCCGCTCTCTGCAAAAAAGATTTAAATTCACCATATTTTGAATACTTTTTTTTCTCCCAGGTAACAAACATTTTTTCTCTGAGTGTATTAACAACGAAGCTTAATATGCAGATGAGTGATCGGATTTTTTGAAGTTATGACAATGATGGCGATGATGATTGCGAATAAAATCAAATGCAACTAAAATTGGATCAGCGAATTAAATAAATAAAAAATATTGAAACAAAATTATTATTGAAAACGTTTTTATAATATACAGCGAAGCCTTCAAATTATGTTATATATTCACAGAAAATCGAGTTCCAATTAGATGGTTAGTACACTGTATTTTTTATACATTTTTTTCTTAAATTTTTAATACAATTAGAAAAAATCTGTATACCCTAATGTTGTCAATTTTTGTCACTAGTTTCACTGATTTTTTAGTAGGCCTTCTTTTGTGTGTGCTCAATATGTAGTCTGATTTGTATTGAGGAGTTTGAGTTCAATGATTTTGGTGTTTATCTACAAGTGAAGGTACAGAGCACCCGAGTTTTGTTCAGGGGTTTTTAAATTAGTGTTTCATGATGATGATGATGAAGATGTTGAATGATTTTCATGATTTCAATGAAATTTTCGTATACAATGAGCAATAGATGATTATAGATGATAAGCATGGCTGAAGATGAAAATTATGAATTATGGAGTATTGAATGAAAATTATGTTAGACGGTTTTGTACAAAATAAAAAAATGTGTGTTTTCATGGGCTAACTTATCTCAATGTTATTAATTTTAACAATGATTATTAACGAATATGTGGATTTTATCTATAAATAACACACTTAAATTTACTTTCAAATGATCACTGCCCTTACAAGGCAAAAATCAAATAACAAAAATTAATTTAGCTGAGCATGGCTAGGGCTCGAACTTCGGTCGTCAGAGCAACACAAATGTTTCCAGACCACTAACGTTCGGAGCCATCAACACACTTCTAAAACTGTTGCGCAAAAACATGTGTATACCATGGAGGCAATTGTATGTGTGTGGATTAATTATCCATCGCTACAACAAAAATCTGCTTTGAAAAGGACTGTTTCTAGAATGAAGACGAATCTTGTCAATGTCGAATCTTGGAAAATTTGAATTTAATTCGCATATGCAAGTTTCGCATCAGGGCAGAATAAATACAAGTTATCAACATACGACCTTTGTAAAACCACATAGCCCAATATGCCTGATGAACCGCTTATCAACGGCGAAACGCGTCGCCTAATGGTGGGTACGTAGGTTCTTCTCCTGGCTTTCCTTTTCATTACAAAACTTCGATCATTAAGTTCGACTCGAAAGAGTATAAATAACTCACTTAAAATTACTTTCAGACTTATTTGTATATTTATTTTAACATATTTTGACTGAACCTAAATTTTGGGTTTACTACTGTCGCCTCTGTCACATTTTGTTTACACAGTGCAGTAAGCACATGGTGGGACTTAACCCCATTACTTTTGTTTACACAAAGCAGTGAACACATGATGGGACCTAACCCCACTACGTGTGTTTACCTATGTTTACAACAAGAACAACAACATAAGTTTCAAGTTCACCTAATTAAGTCAGAATTAATTACGGCTTATCACTTCATTAATGAAATTCAAAACGAAGCAACAACAACAGCCAAATTAGCATAATTTACTGATCGGACGATGGTGCAATAGGTAATGCATTGCGTTGACCTTTGGTCGGCAAACATGAATATTCAAAACTAAAAATTACAAACATAAAAAACACGTTAAAATTTTGTATAGCTATTTTTCTTCAGCATTAGAAAATATAGATTAAAAAAATTTTGTCTACATGAAAATTTCAAAATTCTGACTAACATCGAAATTTAGCTTCATAAAATAGATTTCCACATATTTGATTTCCAATTAATAACTATTTTTTATTAAAAAGAGAGTTGTTTCAAATACCTGTCGACGACCTAAGTAACTGTAAAAAAAAGCAACCCATAAAAAATAGATATTCCAAAAAAGTGTTGTTTTATATGTTTCATGACTGTCGGTGTTATGAGGGGCTCTATATGTATATATATATATATATTATTTTTTTCTTTTCTATTTTGTCGGTGTGTGTTTTATAGATTTTCAATACTAATTTTTACTGCCGAACTTCACTATAAGTATATTTATGTCATTGTTTGTCTGTTTGTATGTGTTTATGTGAAACTAATCGAGTTTCCCATAAAGAGGATTAAAAATCCTGTGGCCTTTCCAAAAAAATAAACAAACGAACATGTTGGTTTTTTTTTAAATCCCAACTATTTTTTTGTATAGTGTTGAAGGGTTCATGTGAATTTTATTCTCTCCTTTTTTTTTGAACTTTTCAATTTTCATAAAAATCAATTATCCGGTATATTTATTGTTTCATCGGTTTTTTTGTCATTCCCTCTACTCTGCTTATAAAATTTTACGATTTTTCAAAATAAAAAATTGAAAATAAATGGTAAATTTTGGGAGCGGCACAGTGGTAGGAAAAAATATTTTTTTTTGAGCTATGCCAGAGGCTTGGCTTTCGTTTAAACTAGTTTTTGAAGCTAAGCCATAGATATGTATTTAAAAAAATATTTTTTGAAGTTAGGACATAGACATGTATTTAAAAACAAATATTTTTTTGTCTGGTCGTGCCAGAGGCCGCAATTATGGTCCAAACATCTCGAATTTTTACAAGGAGAACGGGATCGGGCCAAAGAATGAGCATGCCTGTTTTGATAAAGATCGGTCAATATTTAGCGGGTCAAATGCACCATGACTTTTGTGTGAAAAAAGTACAAAATTTGTATTCTATGACGTATATATTGAAAATTCATGGAAATTTTCAAAGCAATCAGTTGATAGTATATTCAAGAGGTAGTGGTTGCTTAAAATTGATACCAATTATATGGTCGTATCCGAGTACATACGACGATATAATTGGTATCAATTTAAAGGTCAACCACTCCTCTTGAATATATTGTCAACTTCTCGGGTATATGAGAAAATATATACGCCAGGAGAAATATATACGCCAGAGAATACAAATTTTGTAATTTTTCACACAACAAGTCGCCTATAATTTTCGATGATGATCAGAGTATTATTTTGGGATGAAGTGGACCGACAACTTTTTTTTGTGTTTTTGGAGTCGAGTCACAACACAACCCACGGTGAAGGAAATCTGGACAATTAATTAGGATGAGCTGCTTTTGACCTCTAATCGGGCAAGAGGCTGTAAATATTACGAAATATTGTCCAGGCTCGGAATAAACAAAGTTCCGTGGTAGTTTGAAGATATGTTTGAGTCGTGGACTTCAAATATTAAAAAATTACAAAAATAGCCAGTCGTAGGAGTGGATTTAAAAAAATAAAATATTTTTTAAAGTCCAGCATTAGAAGTGGATTTAAAAAAATATCTTCTAAGACGTGAAGTTAAAAAAATATTTATTAAAGGTCAGCCTTAGGCGTGGAATTATAAAAAAAAATATTTTTTTACAGGTCAGCCTTAGGCATGGATTTAAAAAAAATATTTTCTAAGGCCACTGGTAGACGTGGATTTTTAAAAAAATATTTTTTAAAGCCAGTCCTAGGCGTGAATTTAAAAAAAAATATTGTTTTGAAAGGCCAGCATTAGGCTTGATTTTTAAAGAATCTTTTTTAAAGCCAGTCTTAGGCTTGGATTTTTAAAAACATATTTTTTAAGGTCAGTCTTAGGCTAGGATTTTTAAAAACATGTGTTTAAGACCAGTCTTAGGCGTGGATTTTTAAAAACTTATTTTTTAAGGCCAGTCTTAGGCGTGGATTTTTAAAGAATCTTTTTTCAAAGGCCAGCCTTAGGCATGGATTTTTAAAAACATATTTTTTTTAAGCCAGTCTTAGGCGTGGATTTTTAAAGAATATTTTATGAAGCTAAGACGTGGATAGAGGTGTCGATTATTTTTTTCTATTATAATTTGGTATTAATTATTATTTTATTCAAATTTAAATCCTCCCATTTTTTTCAATTTTCCCCCCACTGTGCCATTTTGTTCACCATTCAATTTCAGCTAAAAGCGCTATTAAAACCTATAAAATGATAATCGAAATAGAAACAACAAATATGTATACACTATACCAAAAACGAAGTAGACGAAAAAAAAATCGAATTTCCAAACGAATTGAACAAAAACGAATTTGATGGCTTTAACCAAAATGGATTGGTAAAAAAAAGAACGCAAAAACGAGAAAAAAAAACACATCAAAACAAACTATCGAGCGAAAAACAATGATTTTTTGTTTTAATGTTTTGGGGTTGGATATGAAATGGTTTTTGGATTGATTGTGTGTTCATGATGACTGAGGAGAGGGAGTTGGGGAATGGGGGTAGGATGGAGTTCTTGGCTTATATATGGTAGTGAGAGTATAGACCAAATCAACTTACGTGCATTCGTATTCATTCCATAAATCAACACATTCGAATGGCTCCGGACAGATGACATTCGAACATGGTTTATTTGAGGGGCAATTCTTTTCCAAATTACGAGCCATCGTTGCCTGACCCCATTGGGTGCCATTCATGGCCGGTGGCAGTGGCAAGTGTTTACCTTCCAGCCTGAAAGAAGAAACGAACAAAAAACACAAAATTTTGGGGAGGTGATACTTGCAATGGTTTCTGGGTTAATTGTTTTTGATGTGTGTGTGTATGCACACATGTTTGTAGTAGTATCAATGTGTGTGTGTGTCTGAAACAAACTCACCTTATATCATCCAAACAACTCTTCTGATAATCAGCATACACCTCAAATGTTCGAACACCAGTATATTCCGCCTTGCCGCCAGCATACACGCCCTCCTGTTTATCCACCAACAACCATTGATGACCGACAAATTCAAAGGTTTCATTGTAACGACGACCCTCACCGCCGTCCAACTCCAGTGTAGCAGCCGAACCATAACGATTTATCCTCACCACATGCCATTGACCATCATCAACGGCCACAGCATTTAGCCATAAATCCTTCTCCTCGGTACGCAGGGAATTCAAATTGTAACGGAAATGCAAACGAGCATCCTTAATCTCCAGAATACCATATTCACGATTATGTTGATCGCTGACACGGAACAGCTCTCCGTGCTGCTCACGGGTACGGAAACGCAGCTGTATTTGTGTACTAAAACGATCCGGTTCGAAGCTCAAGGCATATTTGACATAACTCTGTTGCTTAAAGGTGGTCGGTATGGTGGGTATATTACAGGCGGGACCAGTCCAACCTGGCCGGCATTGACATCTAGCCTCACTGAGGGAGCCAACACAGTTACCATGTTCCCAGCAGCGTGCTGTCTGCTCTGATTGGGCACACACCTCTTCAGTTTGTGGGCATCCAGCCACACTGTTACGCGATAGACCCGGATGGGCCAAATCATATAATTTCGAATTGTGTACCAAGTTACGTATACATCCATCAAATCCCTTGGCCATGGGGGTGTAATGCCAGAAATACAACGATGGGTCAAATTGTTCACGATACAAACCACCCACCTGCAGTGGAGCATTCACGTTCAAATATTCACTGAATGGCGGAATATTACCCCTAGCCTGGCAGGACATATCATCAAATTCTGGCATTGAACCATCTTCCATTTCACTGATCTCCGCCGATTTACAGAAGTCCACAACCATGCGGACATTTTCCGAATCCCAGAATAAATCGATGCGATGCCATTCACCATCATCCAAAGTTTTCTTCGTTTTGACACGCAATTCCAAGGTTCCCGAACCAAAATCAATGAGAAGACGTGGGTAGCCTCGCTCCAATTCCAAAGAAATAAAATCGGAAATTAACATTTCATCGCGCTCCGGTGGAACAATGGGTCCATTGTAGATTATCAAACCATCTGGTTTGCGGGTAATAAATTCCAAACTTAAATGTGATTCGTCACACATTTCCAATGGAGGATACCAGGCCCAACCATTACCACGGAAGCTGCGGGTAGTCTGCTGGCACCTGGGGCCGGTGTAGCCCACGGGACAGGAACAGTGAGGACCAAATCGGGTATCCACACAACGTCCACCATTATAGCAGGGGGTATTTCGACAATTTTCCGGTTTAGAGAAGTTGCGGGCTCCACAGGTACACTCAGCCAAGGTATCCACACGCACACCCACCAACGCCGTCTTATTGGCATTAACCATATACGGCAGTGAGCTAATATCCAGGGTATTCGTACACGATCCCTCACACATTTGATTTTCATACAAACACTCATCAATACCCACCATGGTGATGTTGATACCCACATCCTTTTCGATTTCTTCGCGATTCATCAAAACAATACCATTTAGTCTTACAGGTTTATAATACGGTGAACCATGGGCTGAGAAACGGACATCGGTCATGGGCGGGTGTTTCTTTTTCAGCTGCACACTGAAGATATCCACATTTTCGCGATCCGTATTCAACAAGTCAGCCAACTTATCACGGAACCGATCCATTTTCGATCTACTCAACGATTGGGTACGATAATTCCATACACGAATAAAATCTTCATCTGTTATACCCGACAGGCGCACCGATCCTGAATTGATAACAGCCTCATGGGGTATTTCACGAACCGTTACCGTAACATTAGCCGGTACATCGGTCTGGGTGTGTTTACGATCATAAACCTTAAAACGTAAATGATAACGTCCCTCCCGAGTGCCAGCACGCATTGTTATCATACCCGAGTCTTCGTCCAATTTGAAGCGAGGATGTTCCTGAGATTCCCAATAGAATTTCTTGTCGGGTAAATCCCAATCATCTAAATCATAGACATAAACACGACCAATTTGGGTATCTGGCGATTGTCCTTGATAATTGTAGGCGAAGATATCCTTGGAGCCAGGTTGCATTTTATTATCGTTAACATCACCAATAATTACGGTCAGGGTACTTGTGCCAGTCATGGCTGGGGAACCATGATCCTTGATAACAATCGGAATCATATATTCCTTTTGTTGTTCACGATCGAACGAGCGTAGAGATGAAATCACGGCCATACCATCGCCGTTGGCACCCTCTGCAATGGGGGAAGAGAAAATAATAAAAATGCAAATATTAGATTATCGGCTATATATGTAGGGAATAGAGATTCGAACTTCATATTTTATGTCATTAAAAATTACAAATGAGATTTTATATTTTCTAAGTTAGAATTTTCGTTTCCTGCTGAAGATGGCGCCTGCAGTAATATAGGTTCATGCATAGAATATGCGTCTTTGTTAATTTTTTAAGAAAACATTTTTTGATTTTGTGTCTTTGCTAAGACAGAATTTGCATTTCCTGCCGCAGATGTCGCCACCAGTAATATAGGGTTCCTGTACAGAGAATATATCTTTGCTAAATTGTGAAATGAATTGCTGCAGTCTGTATTTTTAGGCGAAACACGTTTTGTTTTAAAATTGAATTTTAGGTTTACATAATAGAGCTTACTCTTCAATGTTTAATCATTATGCATATTTCAAAGTTTCATATAAATAAGTATGGGATAGAGATTCAGGTCTGATGTTTTATTTCATTAAAAATAGAAGTTGAGATTTTGTGTCTTTGCTATGAAAGAATTTGCATTTCCTGCTGCAGATGTCGCCACCATTAATATAGGATTCCTATACAGGCAATGTGTCTTTGCTAAACTATGAACTGAATTGCAGTTAGATAGCATAAGTTTAGGCGAAGCATTTGTTTTAAATTAAAGTTTAGTATTACACAAATTACTTCACTTCGAAGTGAAGCATAGTCTCCAGTGCTTAATTATTAGAAATGAAACCAACCAGAAAAAATCAATAAAATAACCAATTAAGTTCGATTAAAATGACCCTGAGTTTTACTGTGTGTTTGCTTTTTTATTTTTCATCTTCATTGGCAACTCAACACCAGCAGCCAAAGAAGTGTTCAATATCAACAGTGTTCGATGTGATTGGTAATTAAATTTGAAACATTTTGTAAATTTACACTTTTGCATATATACTGTCCGACAGAGGGTGGAAACGGGGCTTGATGTGAGTCGCAACGAAAGAAAATTAACCTCCATACTCTCCGAGAAGCTTCCCTAGATAATGTTGTTACAAGTGTAGAAAGTATTTTTGTTGAAAAGCCGAATTGATTGGCCAGTTTATCCTTGAAGGCAAAGGCATCGGAAGACACACTCACGCCGAGGCAGAGAGACTTGTATAAGGATTAAATACGAACAATTCTCTAAGATAGCCAACCACTAGATTTTTTGGGGGGTATTTGTGGGTATATCAATTTTCTTTGTTGCTGGAGATTTCATTAGTTCGTTTTTTGTTTGTTTGCTTCGTTTACCAGCTTTTGTCGAATGATTTCCAAAATTGTAAAGCAGAACTACTTGGACGGACTACTGCTGCAATTCGATAATTGGATTTTAATAGTAAAAGTTCATTTGTTACCCCCAAAAGTGAAGAAAAAAATCATCATCTATGGATTTTTTTCTTCTTCCTTTCGGCTTCCAATTTTACTATTGTTTCGAGGAGGAGAAGGCGGCTATGGGATTTGAGTTTAAGCTTCCAACAAAAATTGACTTTAAACTGCAAATGTTAGTTTATTTTTCCTTTCTTTTACAATATTTATTGGATTTTCACCGTAAGTGAAGGTCTTTGGAGAGTAATTTTTTGTTTTTGTATTTTTCAGTATTGAATTGTCAATTTTCTGCTAAGCAAATAAGAGTGAAAGAATACAAAAGCAAATGAGGATATTGGAGGAGAATATATTTGGAATATTGTCTAGAATAACAATGGGGTAGTTATTAAAGATATATTTTTAAAGGACAGTGTTTTGAAAAAATATTTGTAATGGCAAAAATAAAAAAAAACAACTGCAAAAATAATCCCAGATGAGTAGGAAAATTTGTTCAAATTGGTTTTTGAATATTTGTAAGGAGAGATTTTTAAACCTTTCCAGAATAAATGCATACGCATCAACACATGAAGATAACACAACTAACAGAACTGCAGTCAAATATAAAGAGGTGTTCTTTCTAGGCAATGATAGATGCCAGGAGCAAATCAATCAGCTACTTAACTGTTATTAAAATGTTTGAAAACAGCAGCACACAAATTATTTGTCCAATAAGGCAGGTGCTGACCAATCATCTGTTTAGCTGGTATTCGAATATTTAAAAACAGAGACTTACATTTCCCACAAGATGAAAATTATCGAAAAGACTCTGACATTCTAATTACCAACCTCGGCATTATCATTTACACATGGTAAGAGATAGCGCCATCCTGAGGAAAAAGGCGACATTAAATAAGCAAGAAACCTAACCATTGCACAAAATTCAAGCAACAATATATAGCAAGAGCAGACCAATCATCTGGTTAGCTGGTATTCGAGTATTTGAATACAGAGACTTACATTTTCCACAAGATGACAATTATTGGGAAGCCTCTGACATTCTAATTACCAACCTCGGCATCATCATTTTTACATGGTAAGAGATAGCGCCACTCAGAGGAAAATTGCAACACTAAATAAGTAAGGACCGCAACCACAGCACAACAATAGATGGCATGAGCTGATCAATGAATAGCTGAATATAACAAATCAGAATTCTTGTAAAGTAATTTTCGAATATTTTTATAAAGGGCAAAAATATAAAATAGCCTCTGACATTCTTATAACCAACATTAAAGATTCCAACCACTGCACAAATTTCTAGGAGGCATTATTTTTAGGTAACGATAGATGGCAGGAGCTGATCAATGATTAGCTGAATATAACAAATTAGAATTCTTGCAAAATGGTTTTTGAATATTTTTAAAAAGTGTAAAGAACATTGGATAGCCTCTGCCATTCTTATAACCAACATCGGAATCATCCTTTAACACATGCGTATGGAAATAATAGGGCGCCATCCAGAGGAAAATGGTTACACTAAATATGTAATGGTTACACTAAATGGTTACACAACGATAGATGGCAGGAGCTGATTAATCATTAGCTGAATATAAAAAGCCAGAATTCTTGCAAAGTGGTTTTTGAATATTTGTACAGAAAGAGAAACAATATAGGATAGCCTCTGACATTATAATAATCGACAACGGCATCACATTCAATAAATTGGTATAATACAGTAGGAGAAATAATTGGGCGCCACCAAGAAGGAAACTGGTAACACTAAATAAGCATTGTCTTCGGAACAACACTAAATATGCAAGGAGGCGTTGATTCGAGTTTACGATAGATGGCAGCCCACATGACAGACTACAGCTGATCAATTATCTAGTCGGCTAAAGTAAATTAATACAAAATTAAGGGCAGCTGCAGATCCAAATTCAGGAAACAAATTATTATTCTTCGAAATACTTCCTTATTTAACTGATTCTTTTTTTCTGGAACTCCCATTACACCATGTAACAATTTACTGTACAAAACGCTCTCCAATATATATTTCCAGCAAAATTATTTGCCAACTAAAGACCACAACAAAAGTTAGATAAACAAAACAAAAATCTAATGTAATTCTGATTTTTTGTTCTCTAAATTCTCTGGCAATTAACAGGTTTTGTGTCCTTAATTCCTCCTGAGTTAAATCCGATTGAATTTTGTTGTTCAGTTTTGTTTTTTGTGTACAAACAAACTAAAGATCTAAAACTGAACAGAAAACTAAACATTGTTTTCGGAACAACAACAAAACGAATGTTACAATAAAACATTACCAGTATTTAGTTGAAAGGCTTAAAAACCCATTTAGAGTAAATACTCTCGAACATGTTTTAACAGTAAAATAAAAATTACTGACAGCAGTAGGTTATAGTGGTGGGCGAACATTTGCTAAAAGTTCAAGAGCCATAGACCGAAGAGTGTATGGGCATTGGCAGTGTAAATATTTGCATTACAAGATTTTTGGTCTTTTTTTGTTTGGGAAAAAGTTGGATTTTTTGGTTGGAGATGTTGGAACTATTGTAATGTCATTTTAATAAATTTGAAAAAAATATTTTTTTAATTTATTAAAAAGAAATTGAAAATTATACTTTTTCAAACCCTAAATAGAGGACTTCAAAGGTTGCCCATATATAAGATTGGATATTCTCATCATCCTTATTATTATCTCATCCATCCGAACCGGCATAACATAAAGTTTGAATAAGAGAAAGTAGCGCCATCCAGAGGAAAATGACAATATTAAATAAGCAAGGACCCCCAACCTACGAATGTAATTGGAGGAGGCGTTGCTGCTATGCTATGATAGATGGCACCCCATAAGATCAGATCAAACATCCACTCAGCTCGAATAAAAAAAGTCAAAATTATTCCAAAGTAGTTTTTCGAAAAAGAGGCATCCCAATTAAATGCATCGGAGGGCTCTCACATTATAAATAACCAAATCAAACATCAACACACGAAATTAATACATAGCAGAGCCAGGAGCGCCGTCCAGAGGAAAAAGGCAACACTAAGTAAGAACCCCAACCACTGTATGCTATTGGAGGAGGCGTAGATGGCAGTCCAATTCATTCTCGAATAAAAAATGTCATTTTAATAAATTAATAATATAATAATAAATTTTAAAACAATAATTTTCTTAAGTAAAATATTAAAAAGAAATTGAAAAGTATATGTTTTCAAACCCTAAATAGAGGACTTTAAAGGTTGCTCATATATGAGATTGGATATTCTCATCATCCTTATTATTCTCTCATCCATCCGAACCGGCATCCATCCGAACCGGCATAACATAAAGTTTGAATAAGAGAAAGTAGCGCCATCCAGAGGAAAATGACAATATTAAATAAGCAAGGACCCCCAACCAATGAATGTAATTGGAGTAGGCGTTGCTGCTATTCTATGATAGATGGCAGCCCATAAGATCAGATCAAACATCCACTCAGCTCGAATAAAAAATCTAAATTTTTCCAAAGTAGCTTTGGGAAAAGAGGCATCCCAATTAAATGCATTGGAAGGGCTCTCACATTATAAATAACCAAATCAGACATCAAAACACGAAATTAATACATATCAGAGCCAGGAGCGCCGTCCAGAGGAAAAAGGCAACACTAAGCAAGAACCCCAACCACTGTATGCTATTGGAGGAGGCGTTGCTTCTAATCAATGATAGATGGCAGTCCAATCACAGGATATAGCAGATGAATCATTCATTCAGAATAAAAAATCTTCCAAAGTAGTTTTCGAAAAAAGATGCTTCCGAATACAAAGCATCGGAAGAGAATAATCAATTCATGCATCAACACACGAGATTAACACATAGCAGAGACAAGCGATAGCGCCATACAGAGGAATATGGCAGCACTAAGCAAGGACCCCAACCCCTGTATACAATTGAAGAAACCGTTGTGTCTATGCAATGATAGATGGCATTCTCATCACATTGGACAGGTTAGAGAAGATCAATCATTCACTCATTGCCAACACTAAATAAGCAAGAACCCTACACAACATTTCAGGGAAACGTTCCCACTAGGCAACGATAGATGGCATCATAGTAGAGGCTACAACGGACCTATAATTTACATAGCTGGAATAGAAAAATCGATGACAAAAAAGACTGCAAATATGTAAAGTCCACGCCAACTAATCGATTTAAGGTGGCTATTCTTTTTGGAAGCCCTAGGCTCCGAGAAAAATAAATTAAGACCCACAACTGTAACCTAATTTATTTATAAAATAAATCAAAATATTTTATAAGAAAAAATCAAAAGTACAACTTACTTTGATCCTGTTCCACCTTAAACGAAGCACGGATAATATCATCAGCACTGGGGTCCAAACGGAATTGGAATGGTGGACCGTTGCTCTTGGAACGATCATCATCATCGGTGGCAAGAATTTCCACAACTTTACGTGGTGGTACATGTTCAGGTAATACAGGACGATAATCCTTCAAGAATTTCGGTGCATTATCATTAATGTCCTGGACAATTACAGTAAGCGTTGCAGTAGCCGTCTTCGGTGGAGAACCATCATCAATAGCCAAGATTTTCACTTGATGCCGTGGCACAACCTCACGATCCAATGAACGTTGTATGGTCACTGAACCATTTTGATTAATGGCAAATTGTCTCTGTCTGTCCGATGAACGATCTATGGAGTAAGAGACTTTGCTACGTCCACCCTGATCTGGATCGGTTGCCTTGAATTTTTCCAATTCCGTTCCCACTTTCGTGTCTTCAAATACCGAAACTTCAACATTGGCCCTCTCGAAATGCGGTTTATTATCGTTGATGTCACGCAGTTTTACCACAACCCATGAATAGGCCACATGATATTTATCATTGTCATTATCCTCGCCTTTATCGTTGACTTGTATACGGAAACGGAAACCATTCGATTGCAGTTGATCTTCATAATCCAAAGGTTGGACAATTTTCAGCGAACCTGTACCATCATTATTACGAACCATGGTAAATTTATCTGCCCCATAGCCACTGTTATCGATTACTTTATATTGGAATTTATTTGTTTCATCCTCATCGTGCACGGTTACCGTTAGGATAGGCATTTCCGGTAGTGTTGTACCATCCGTTTCATCCACTTCCGTAAACCATTCATCTTTTGTAAATTGCGGCGGCATATCATTTATATCTTTAACGCGTATAGATGCCGTCCCCGTACCCTTTAACCCCCCGCCATCCATTGCCACAACTTGTATAGAATAATCAGGGGTACGTTCACGATCCAAGCAGCAAACGGCCGTCTTGATAACACCCGTATCGGGTTCAATTTCAAAGATTGGTGATCCAGTTTCTTCTTCAATGACATTTTTCTCGATGGAATAAACCAACTTGGCATTCGAACCTTCATTGGGATCATCATAATCCACAGCGGTCATAGTCATCACAACCATGCCTGCGGTACCGTTTTCTGTGACATTGCCGAAATAGACACCTTGTGGGAAAATGGGAGCATTATCGTTGATATCTTTCAGATTGACTTGAACATCAGCATAACCCACGAGACCTTCGCCGCCTTCATCCTGGGCGAACACGGTGAAACGCCATTGAGGCCGGCCATTAGGTTGATCACGATCGAGGGGCTGGAAGAAAAAATTAAGACAGAAGCAAATTAATGGATTATAATATTAGGATTATGATTACAAGAAATAATTAAAAATCAATATAAAATTTATTGTCTAGAATCTGAGATTTTTGGTGGCTTAGTGCAGTGTATAATGTGCCACACTACATATCATTGGGTACCGGGTTCGAATCCCAGCGGAGAAAGAACAATTCTTTAATAGTAGTTTTCGAATATTTGTCATTTTTCTCCACCAGATGACATGCATCCGAAGCGTCTTGATATTTTAATAACCAACCTTGACATCAACATCGACACATGAGGAATGGCGCAACCCAGAGGGAAATGACAACACTAAATTAATAAGGACTACAATCACTACAACACTTAAAGTAGGCGTTGTTACTAGGTAACAATAGATGGCAGCACCTAGGACATGCTACAGAAGCCAAATAATTTACTTAGATGAAAAAAGGATTATCGAAACTAACACAATGTTGGCGATGCCTTCTAAAAACTCTATGCCCCCGTGAGGAGTAACAGGATATATTTTAATAACCAACCTTGATATCAGCATCGAAAAATTGGAATGAATGTAGATAACACCACCCTGAGGAAAATGGCAACACTAAATAAGCAAGGATTCCAACCACTGCATACAATTAAAGGAGGACTTGTTTCTAGGTAACTATAGATGGCAGCACCCCATAACCTAGGACAAGCTATAGAGAACCAACCATTTACTTACTTGGAATAAAAAAATAGGATTTACGAAACTAGAACATTGACCGCGATATTTTGTGAATGATCTATGCTCCAGAAATAATCCTTGTTCTTCCCTCGAACAAGAATTATTTCTGTCTTCTCTCCCTATATACTCATTCTTTATCCTGTCTGTCTAATTGTAACATAAATTAGCCTCCTAGTACCCAACTAATGCCACTTAAATTTGTTGGATTTTGCTTCTTGTGCCCTCCCTGTTTTCCTTTTAAACTCTCCTTCTGTGTACAACACAACGTCTGTATCACATTCTTCAGCTGAATAACTATCCTGTCATAAGCACCGTGAAAACCGCAAAATGTATTATAGGGTATATTTTACGTGCTTCATTTCCGAGTGTTGTTGTTTTTTGTGGTTGTTGTTTTTGTTATTGTTTGTTTGGTAGTGTAATGCAATAAAAATAGCAGAGTGACACATTGAAATCCTCAAACACAGATACGCCACAATACGCACTTATTGCGAAGCAATTTAATGGTAGATTGGGAATGGGTTATTGCAGAGGGACTCTAAGAGGGAGATTTAAATGGGTTTTTAAAGAATAATATTTAAGGTAGAAAACTCCTGAGTTGATGAATTCAATAATAATAACTTATAACTTAACACCATAGCCTTCCGAGGGATAGGGGGACTCAAAATCAGATTCCGAATCTGAACAAGAGAACAAAACCAACATAACAGTTATAGAATTCTGGAGTTGTGAAGTTGCTGATATGATCGTAGAATACGACAGTTATCCGGGACATAAAACCTAAAATTGGCATAGATGAAACGGAGAAACAGATCATCAGTTGATCAAAAGGATAAACCAGACCATACTTCCACTTACTTGGAAGTGGCATAGAGGATTAGGACTCCGAAAGAGCAGACGAATGTCAAGCCCACCAAAAGGAAAAAATAACTTCTCGTTGGCTGATACAAATAGGAAGCAAAGCCAATTCGAATTTGAAGAGGATTGACACAGGAATCTATCGACTGAGAGCGGTGACACTAGCTGTAATATCCTGGAGAACACTGCACCGGAATCTTCCGTAAAAACTGGGAATATCAAGAGAATGCGTAGTTTGCCAGGTGGCGTTTTAGGGAAGAACTCTGATATGGTGTGATCGACAAAAATAGAAACTGGAAAGGAGGTGATGCGTTCGGTCAATATTGCTTCGTATAGCTTGCTGCAAGAAAGGGACCCTATCGATCTGGATAGCTGCGAATTCAAGGGAGATTACCTAATGATTGAATTTGAGCGTTCAAATAAAATTAAAACCAGGCTGGTGGGGAAAATAAACGTTATTCGATAGAGGTTGGGACAGCGACATCACGACAGAACGTAAGGTCGAATAGGTCGCATTTATTACCCAAATTGGATGAAATTTGGCACAGTTCACTTATTTGACCCAAGGACAAGCCCTATTGAAATTTAATAATTTTCCCGTCCTTCTGCTCATTTTTTATTTATTTCTTGATTGTAAAATAACCCTATGTTCTACAAGAAAATACAAACACAGCAGCTTATCAGCCACTTTTGGTTGGTGAGGGTTTCACGTAGTACCTCCCTCCCTCCCTGATGCATTATTTGCCTGGCCAAAACAGCTGCTGCTTTTTCAACTGTCATTCATTTTTAAATGCGTTACATTTGCCTGGTTATATCCAAAGCATAGTTTGTTTTTTGTAATTGTTGTCCATTTTTGGAATAAACTAAATTTATATATGCTTCTCTATGGGGGATACAAATTTTTGACCAGCATGCTGGCTGGCTGGCTAACTCAACAATGTCACTTTGGAACAATTTTTTATTTAATTTTCCACATTAAAATTGTCGCATGGGTCTTTTGGGGAGGTGTACTGGAAATGGTAAGCTCCTCACAAAAGGATTAACGGGACACAGTAGCATAAAAGAAAAATATAACAGGAGAGGAGAGAAGTGGACATTTCGAATAGTTATTACAGCATATTGTAGAATATATACACCTCATAAAACAAAAACCATAGCTCCACGAGACTGGTATTGGTAATTCATTGTTAGAGTAACTTGTGTGGTAATTCCCGTGATCCCCTCCTCACTTTATGGCTTTTATGTTTTTGGCTTTCATATATTTTGTTTTGGTTCGGTTCGTTTCGTTCTAACTAAAACATTTATATTTAGCTCACGAAATTAGCATTTAAAAGGAATGACATATTGTGTGGAGTGGTTTTTTGGTGTGGGGATTTAGAAAATTTACGTTTGTGCGTGCAATGATGCTTTATGGCCATTTTCGCTGGCAATAAGTTTTGTAGCCTAGCCAATTTTTAAATACTAATACCCTAACCTAGAGATTCTATATAAAATATACATGTGTGTGTGTGTGATGGGTATGTCATTAATTTTAGTCCTAACTAATGGCTACATTTTTATCATTTTATAAATGCATTTTGAAAAGGCTTTTAGTGAACATGTCATGTGGAAGCTATATGGTCGTATCAATGTATGTGTGGACAATTTAGAAGGATTTTGTTTTCGTAATAAAACTGTCTCTCAAAAAATAAAAAAAATGTGCAACTAAAACCATTGCATATTTATAGGCATTTCATGTATTGATGCAAATTGATGAGTATCTCACATTAAGTAGAGGCTATTAGATGGTTGTTTGTGTGTACCTATATAGTTATATGTTTTTATAGTATATTGTATTTATATGATGACATATTTACATGGTTTTTAAATAAAGTGATGACATGTGTGAGAGCTTGTATGTGGTATATGAAAAAAAACTGAAACATACTTTTAGGCAGGTATTAGATTTAGTGGTGTATGGATTTTAGGAAAATAACACAAAAATCTATTTAATAGGATTTATTTATTAAAAAATCTCGAAAAATTTATATCTCTTGGGAAATTCGGAGCAAAATTAGTTATAAAAAATATTTACATTTAAATTTTGTGTTCCGTTTTAACTTTGCAACCACGAAATGGATAACGCTGTATGTGGCTAGTAGCTTCCGAGAATCAAATATTCGCCCATGTGACAGGTTCCAAGAGTTTTTAAATTCCCATACTTTTTTAGATTCCCATTTTGTGCAAAATGGTGTGCTCAATTTCGGTCGAAAGTGCGGCCTCAAGAGTTTGTAACGCCGTCAAATATTGGTCCCTGACCCTCTTTTAAGTATACCGATCGTCATATCACGACTAGCTGAGTCGATCTAGACATGTGTGTCCCTCCGTCTGTCCATTATAATTCGTAAACACGATACAGGCCACAGTTATGGACCAATCTTCAAATTTTGCATGTGGAATGGGTTCTGGCCAATGAAGACCCCTATTGTTTTTGGAAAAAATCGGTTAATGTTTAGGGGATGAAATGGACCAAGAACTTTATTTTTGTCGGTTTTTATGGTGGCTCCAGAGGCCGAAATTATGACCCAAACATCGGGGATCGGGCCAAAGAATAAGCATGCCTGTTTTGATAAAGATCGGTCAATATTTAGCGGGTCAAATAGACCCTGACTTTTGTGTAAAAAATTATGAAATTTATATTCTATGACGTATATATTTACTCCTGAAGTACATAGACCCAAAAAGTTGATAGTATATGCAAGAGGAGTGGCTGACCTTTAAATTGATACCAATTATATTGTCGTATGTGATCGGATGTGGGAGATACACTTAAATATTTACAAGTGCTAACGTATTCAGATATTACTAAGTAACCCATTACCACAATGGAGGGCGGAAATATAGCGTTAATCGCTTTGAAAATTTCCATGAGGTTCCGGTTATGGTCAAGGACAACGCCTATAATTTGCGGTGATGATTAGATAATAATTTTAGGATGAAGTGGACCGAAAACATATTCTTTTTTGTGCGTTTTTTTATGTCGATCTATAGGCCACAATTATAAACCGAACAAGTATTTAGAAGTAAGTAATTAGTAATATTCGGAAAATATGTCAGTGTAAGGAAGATGTGCCTCTTATCGGGAAAGAGGGTGCAACTAATACGAAATATTGCCCAGGCTCGGAATAAAACTTCGCAGAAAGTTAGAGTTCCTTGGTAGTTGTGTAGGGTATCGTATGGTCGGCCCCGTCCGACTATACTGCTCCGCTCACTGGTTTTGTATTTTCTATTTGTTTAACAACAAAATTATGAAAAACTGTCTGCTGGCATGATAATTGCCCTGATTTTTACTAGAAGAAGGCTTATGATTGGAAGGTTTTTAACGACGCCGCCTTAGGGAATCTCTGTAAGTATTTCGATGTTTGCAAAGCTAT